AAGAAGAAGAAGAAGAAGTTCTTCTCTCTCAGCCAGCGGCTGCCAATGTCTGCCACGGATACACTGACCAGTGGAGGAAGAAAGCGGCAGCCTTTCTTGAACGTCGCAGAGAACAACCTCGGCGCTGCAGCCTTGTCTCCCCCACCATGGCCAACTCTCCCTGCTACGACCAAGTTGCCCACACTCTTCTCACCCTGCCTGAGCATTGCAGCTGCCCACACTCGCGGCTGCCCACAAATGCCACGGCTGTAGAGTGGGAAGAGTGTGGGCAAGCACACTCTTTGTACTGCCGCTGACCAGGGAAAAGGCAGTGTCGACCGTCGGCGGCCTCCCAGGCCGTGCCCCGATCGGCCGACCCCCCTGGTACCGGCCCAAAATCCAAAAACCGGGCCTTCGGGGCGGGGGTGGCCGCCGCGGAAAAATTGCGGCAGGCCGACACCGCCGATCGGTCGGCCCCGACGGGCAAAACGGTCGGCGGGTCGGCGGCCGACCGACCGAGGCCCGCCGACGGTCGGCCTGTGCAACTCTGAATTGGCTGGTAAATGGCAAGGTTGCAGAATTGCGACAGGACTGGGTATGCTTGAAAGAATGGCACAATTCAATTCCAGAAAGGGGCTTTCAACAACAGGCAACGTCGGAGGGCATAATCACATCTTAGGCCGCAAGGGAATGAATACAATCCTCAAGAGGCCCAGGGGGTACAGACAAAGAGGGAACGTGGGAGAAAGGAGGACAAGTTGGAGAAGGTGATAATACTGGAGCATGAACGGGGGTTGCAAAGGAAGATTTTATCACAGAGGTCCGGAAGTAAACGAAGTCCTGCCAGGTTGCAAGTTTGACGATCAGAGGACAGGAGCGCAGGCTGAGGGTTTAGGGTTTAAGGTTAGACGGTTTATCATTCAAAGGGGCAGGGAGGTGTGTGGGGAAGGAACAGGTCGGAAGGACAATGGATGAGCTCTTTCTAGGGTCAATGGCGCTATCTGGCAGATCTGGAATCCAGGTCTGAGAGGAAAGAGAGGGACAGGGCAAGCTGACAGTCGATCCTCCACCACGGTGGAGCAATCAATGCTGTTCAGGGGTCCTTCGGCCTGATGGAAGGAAGCATGTGTGAGTGTTTATTGATGTAATGTATATTTTGACTTGCCCGTGGAATAGGAACCGGACTGACGCTCCCCAGAATAGATGGAGCCAGGACCATAAGGCCCTGTTTTTAAGGGGGGGGGAAAAAGAAAAAGGTGAAGAAGCCCAGTGGAAGTTAGGAGCACAGAGGTCTTGCAGATTACCTTCCACGAGCAGAACTGTGACAACAACACTGCCGATAGCGTCCGCTGCCCAAGGTAGTGGGCCCTACCCAGGCACCAATACATCAGAAAGGATTATAAAACCTAAATCATAACGTTCATATACACCTGTCCCTTTCCATTAACCATCTTCCGTAGCGCATAAACATCATCAAAGCCAGTATGTTAGCCAGCTTCCCTAGCACACAAACGTAAGTCGTCAAAGCCAGCAGCTTCTTCATTTACATCTCGTACTTGCAGCCTAACCTTTACAAAGGGTTGCCTCACCTCCCCGCTTCACTTTTCGACATTGCACTGAAGAACTATATAGGCACCAGTAACAAAAAAAAGAAACGCGCAGCCATCCTTTCACATCTCAAGTTTCTTCAGGAGCTGCCTGCGACATAGCAGTCCGTAGAACAAATGAACGGAAAAAAGAACAGTGGTATCACACGCTGCGGCGGCTGCGCAGTCAGTTTGTACACATCAACCTATCCCTACAGAGTAGCATCATACACTGCGGTAAAGAGCTGGTCTCCTCTCCAAAGGACAGTCTGCAAAATTGGGAGGATGAGAATAACAATGAGGTAGGTCCCATACCCATCTCCTTTGAACATCTTCCCCAGAAAGCACTTGGGTCTCATTCCCAGAGAAGATGTCACCATGCTCGGAAGCAGCAGTCCTTCCGTACTTATCACCTATTGTCACAGGCAGGGAGATAAGTGCAATCAACCATCAAGAGAATGAACGTTCCAGTAAGTGATTGTTCCCTGATATTCTGGGAAGATCAACACAACAAGCCAGCAGCTTCAACTGTTTATTTTCAACGATTGTGTGCTCTAAAGACATGCAGGAACCACCATCCACCCAAGCATTTCCATGGAAACATTTTACCTTTTCAGAACAGAATTGGCCGCTAGTATTTGGGTGTCAAACAGGATACAATATCATGCGCAGTTAATCATTTATTTCGACGTTCATAGCACATAGCCAGCATGCCGGTATGCTCTGACGTCGGGCAACTACACAGACATTCACAATAAGAAATTTGGGGACACTCTGAAAAAAAGGGAGAAAAAAATCAATTGGAGCGGGCTGTGCAACAATCAGATTAGCTGGAGCCGCTGTAGGTATTGGAAATATGTTTGTCCAGCACCTTAAGTGCTTGCTCATTTCTCCCCGTGGGCAGACTGTGCTCACCAAATTTCCACTTAAGTTTCCGGCCAATACAACATGGCAGACCAATTGCACAAGCAATGATTACCAAGGTTTCCTGTTAGTACTTGTTCCCTGTGCCGACAGTCCGCATAGCCTCAACACCACGTTGACTGTCTCAAACCTTGCAGTAGTTCCCTGTGCTACGCTGAAGAAAATTCATGTAAGAAACAACTAATACATCAGAAAGATGAGCTTGGATCCCCCAAGGGGGGATGGTGACATGAAAGCAGCAAGTGGACAAAAGGCAGGTAAGACATTTGAATTTCAACACCACCACAATTTGCTCAAAAGCTGACTGGGCCCTTGACTTTTCTGTGCTTGGACCCCCTTAACAGTGAGATGGGAGGCATCAGTTAACCTATCCTCAATGCGAGAAACTGAAACAATACAGAACACTTGTGGGCAGACAGAAAGTCTCACCTTTCCTTGTGCTGCAGCAACAAGACCTTTGCTCATCCTCACTGGAACTGATATAAGTCCACTAGGAGCACATGCAATTGTCTCTGCTATGCGAGCTGGCATTTGCAATCCCGCTGCAATCGTTACATCCGCATTCAGAGCTGTTCCGACAATCTGTAAAACGGACTGAAGAAGCCCCTCCTGTGTGAGCACTCCTTTTCCTGATGGGGCGTCCTGTTTCGACTGAAGTCCTGAGAAAAGTCGAGCAGACGACTCATCCGGTATCGGAGCACTCAGGATCATCCTTGCCATCCCATAACCTTCCTGTGATGGAACACTAGATCCTCCTCCTTTCCCACCTCGCATCCCACATTGTCTGCCCTCGGACACAGAAGAGATATGTACTGCATCTGTGTTTATCTTTCCACCATAGGCATTCTGCAAAAGTCTGTCCGTAGGCACTGCTCCAGAATGGCCTCCATCTGTTCTATAGCCAATGCCAGTCACTCCTGTAAAGCTCGCGGAGCCCATTGCATGTGGACCAGCCCCCATAGCAAGCCGAAACTCACTCCCCAGCATGGTTGTACCCCAGGCTGGCACCCTGGACCCAAGAGCACCAGCTGTGCTCGACTGGTACGCAACCATGAGCTGCTCGAGGGAGGCATCTGGCACACACAGACTTTGCTCAACAACGTCCGTCCCTTGTGTCACATCCTCAGAAGATCTGCCTTGGAGCCTGTTCAGAGAACCTGATACCATTGGGATTGTCACGGAGGATGAACTACTGTGCTGAAGCATCCATGCAGGTGCTGCCTTTGTCTGCCTTGCATGCAACCCCTCAAAGCTCGGTGTATGCTCTGGAGGAGCCAGAGTAACCGTGGTGGAGGACAGGTGCACCGAAGAGGACATTCTTCCACTTCTCTGAAGCTCAATCGTGCGAACATCTTCCCTGGCCATCAACATATTGGAAGGGTCATAACCAGGCAGAATTGGGATTTGACTCAATGGCGTAACCTGTTGCTGAGTGCACGTACACTCCGTCGTTCTGCATGAGGACCGCATCGCCGCCATAACGGATACAATAGTTGAAGCTGCTCTGATGATCGTTGGGACCACACCTCTGAATGATGAAAACCATGTCCTCATGCAGTTTGCCAATCTGGACAACCTGGACTTGATAGACAGTATGAACTTCGCCGTGCTGGACACCAAAGCCACTGTAGTTGAAATTCAAACGCGTCTTCACATGTCCAATTTGGATACAGTGCTTGATCTTGTGTGCAGGCCAAACAGAGGCCCTGCAAGTTGGTTTCTGTGTCGCACAAACAACGAATGGGAATCTGATCACTCCACTTTCAGGTAGCATTTTGCATGCCACCACTCCTTTGGATACACGAAAGTGTTATGTTACTGCGAGTCCCACCAATTCGACACAACAGGCTTTTATCATGCGCATCTACTATCCAAGCGAGATCCTTTCTCCGCCTGGACTCAAGTGGAATTGAGAGGCGGAAGACAAATTCAAAAATACCTACACTATTTACACTACAAGCAACAGCTAGGTACTGCTCTGAGAGAAACCTTGAGCATGAGCAGTGGATAGATCTGGACGCAAACCGACCCCACCTGATTGTGGAGGCCCCCCTCCCACCCCTCCCTGCAGATGTTGGAGGATACACCCGTCAACAGTCAAGGTAGATACATATTCAAAGCACAATCCTGACGTGAACATCCGTTTTCATATCATTGTGTTCTCAGTTTTCGTCACCTCAGCAACCAAGAAAGCCAATCACAGTAGATGTCATAAAGGCAGAAAGCACTAACTCTCATTACTTGGCTATTCAATAAGCAAACAAAGTTCGCCCAACTATCTCAGAGGCTATCCAAAGTTGCAGCCTCGTACAGCCCACTGGTACTGGTTTTTCTTCTTCACTAATGGCGAGTTATTAGGTTGCAGAATTTCAGCAAGTGGAAGGTTGTGGCGGTGATTCAGCAAGAGCATTTATCACCGTGCGCTTGACAATCCCTCACCAAGCAAAATGGACAGCTGCAGCCTCGCATAACCTGCTGTTACTGCTTCCCTAATGGCCAATTATTAGGTTGCAATATCCGGAGGTTCGCAGCTGTGATGCACCCAGAGAGTCGAACGACATGCACATCCAACATTCCTAACCAAACGAAATGGCATGGATGGTTCTCACAGGTGTCACTAACACTTTCCGCAAGACACTTAGCCCTGATACCACTTCTTATTCAGCAATCACTGACTGGCATGTAGATCAGTTGCACCGGTGCTGCAACCCAACCCAGAAAATGTGGTTCTGTAAGAACACCTGAGGAGAAGCAGAAGACATCGCAGCTTGGGTAGATCAGAAACACTGTACTGACTATCTTCTTGGTTGGTGTCTTTTCATGATCAGTGTCTTCTTGATTGGTTCTTTCACCACAGTTCCATCATTTTCCAATTATTGCCCTTTAGGAGAACTCGCAAGTGGAGTAGACAATCCAGCCTTGTGCTTTTCTTCAGAAGCACCACACTCTTTCTGTCTTCGGTCCAACTGGCTTTTCCCACTTTCCACACCTGGATGGATGCTCACGTACAACCTATCTATGGAGCGCGCTTCAGCAAAGCGATCCCCCCATCCGAGGTATGTATCATCTGGATGATCCATACAATACGATAAGCCATATGATAAAATCCCTGTGAACAATCCATACGATAAAACCTCTCTCAAACTGAGATCCTAGAGCAATGATATACCCCAAGCTTTCCTTACTGCTCCCTGAAGCTTCCAGCATGGTGTGTCAGGCTTCTGAGCCTCAAACACAAAGCACTTCCGCAACAAGACGCCAAGTACTGGACTTGTTAAAATCTTTTTCCCAATCCGCACTCCATCCTACACGAATACAACAACAATCTTTCAGGCTGGGTCCAGCTATCAACCTCTGCACTTGCAAGGAATAGCGTCAGACGACAGTACTGATCCTTCCACCGAGATATTGCAATGTGCGGGCACCCCACGCGGTGGCTTTCAGGGGACACAAACCCAGAGGCAAAAACCAAGCAGTTTACAGTCCTCGTTCGGGTGGACTCCACATCCCTGCAACAATGTCCAACATCTCACTCAATGTTGGAGCACCTGGAACCTGCGAGGAGCATGTCAACACATATAGGAAAGCCCTGTTAAGTTGTGAACACTAGACAGTTGTTCCGAAATGTGAAACCCATAACATGCATAGACTTCACGCAAACAACTCACGCACCATGGGCATTCAAATCTTGGCTTACAGACGAGATTCACAAAGGTACAAAGAGACATCCATTTCCATCCCAACCACACACTGCGCTCAATTGTCAAAAGCAGTGTTGGACCCGCCGACGGTCGGCAGCCCTTGACTGGTCTGCTGCCGACCCGCCGACTGATCGGCTGGTCGGCACCTACCAGTCGGGGGTCATTGGCACCCCGCACCCTTCTTTTTGTGGTTTTGGGATCCAGAACCCCTAATAACCCCACCGACACCCCCGTAGCGGCCCCCAATACCCGCATACACCAACCCAACACTCCCGAACCGCCCCCAACACCCTTATTAACCCCCCTGATATCCCCTGTATCACCCCTATACTCCCCCTATACACCAACCCATGCCTGCAGCGTAACGCGTGCGCGCGAGCTCCGCACCTGATCCAATGCACCCCAATAAATAGGGTATAAAAAAAAATTTGGAGAACGCTGGCTGAGGTAGCCAATGGTGCACCTCCCCACAGAAAAAAAAATTGGGCTCACGTATTCCTTGTTGAATAGTCTTTTTCCCGGAGGCCCCCAGCAGTGCATATGCAAGGGTCCCAACATCTCAAGAGACGTTCAGGAAATTTCGTATGAAAGAGGAGCAGGCCAGCAATATATGTTCTGGATCCGAAGTCAAGTCTACTTTCCAGCAGTTGTGGGTTACAAGTTACAACTACTTACTACTGTAGCTCTCTCTTTCTTTTGTTTCGTTTTCCTACGAGCAGTGGCCCTAAGGGCCTTGCTCCACTCGTCACTACTTGCACAAAAGACAAAACATATGGCATCGTATGGTTCCATGTTCTAGCAGAAGATTCATTCCTGTCTTTCTTTTGTTTCCTTTTCCTACGAGCAGTGGCCCTAAGGGCCTTGCTTCACTCGTCACCACTTGCACAAAAGACAAAACATATGGCGGCGTATGGTTCCATGTTCTGGCAGAAGATTCATTCTAGTTTGGCACATTTGGTGAGTAGTGGAGGGAAGCCCTGAAAAGCACGAGGTGAGTTGGCCTGCTACTGCCCAGAAACTTGCGTGCTCAGTGGTCCCATAACTGCTGAAACACGGACCTTATGTGAATCAACAGCATACATACTTGGTGTGCCATGACTTTAGCATGGCTATGACTACTAGCTCGTTCATGGCAACGTGGCCCTTGCTGATTGTGTGTAGGGGCCTCTCGGATAACCCGCAGGGGGTTTGAAATAAATGCTAAGGAGCTATTTAAGGAGCTATTTGTTTACATTCTCTCCTCTCTCTCTCTCTCTCTCTCTCTCTCTCTCTCT